CATGCAATGTTACATGTGTCAAATTTATATCACAATTTGCTATTATATCTCAAATGTTATTGGTACGTTGATAAACCTTATTCTGTTATCAGATCAAAATAAGCTCTTGAATTCATGATACGAAAATACGAAATACGAATACAAAATTATCATAACAATAGCAAATTATTTTTAAGGGCAGAACAAGCTATTAACTTGTGATAGCAAACAGCTTACCAACAACATAATAAGATATTGATAGTAAAATTTCATATTATTTTGCTCTGGTTTTGCTATTCCTCTGGACCCGGATACTTACACTGAACTATAGCGTACAGGTAAGTTTTTCCTAAAGGAATATCTTAGTTTAAAACTTTCAACGGGTTATTTTCCAGCCCCAGTGAGTTTGGAGAAACAAACTTTGTTCGAACATTTGGCTAACATAAAAATTACAAAAATATTGAAAAAAAAACTTCCGACGGCCACATTACAGAATATCTACAGTCTACATTAAGGGTAGCCGGTGTAAGATAGAATTTACCAGAATTTAACAGAACTGGTATGTTTTGGTTATGAAAACAGCAACATTGTGAAAGTTAAACATGCGGAAAGAGATTTTTTGGAGTCAGATCCTTTAGTTTAACATAATATTTGCACCAGACTTCGGCTGAAAGTCTCCTAAGTAACGAAAACCAAACCAATCAACACTTGCAATATTTGCAGTATCTAATTGTTATTTCCAAAAATTGAAAATTTCGATTCGTTTTGTTTCTGTTCCGTTTCGACTAAAATTGGTCGGAAATCAATGTATGATTACGGACCAATCTGAAATAAATTAAGAAAAAAATTGAATTCATTGCAGAAGCATACACACTCAAACAGAAAGGTAATGCTAAAAATTACAGATGTTTAGGTATTTTCTCGCTTTATTGCTGAAAACTGTAAATTAAATGACCGAATTTCGGTATTTTCATTTTAATTTAACGAAAACGGTAAACATTTTTACCGCCAGGTCTGTAATACAACTCCATCACTGACTTCGGTGAAATATTTTACTGAACTTTCGGTAAACAACATTACTGAGTTCGGTAAACGTCAAATCCACCATATTGTAATTGTTGATCGACTTTAAAAACGTTCGTGTTTTGAAAAATAAAAAGACTGTTATGCAACACCAAGGTGAGCGAATCGTAGATATTTTCCGTAAGAAATTAATTTTTGTTATCTAAATAAATACCGATTACAGATATTGCTTGGTTTATCGAGAATTTGGTAAATGAATTACCGAAGTCGGTGATTTTTTCTAAGTGTGTACGTTTACAATTAGAGTGGCGTCTCGTCCATATGTGCACCTCGTGCACTGCACAGTCTCAAATTTTCAAAAAGTAAAATTTATATTTCATAAAAATTAAGAGGCAAAAATTTAATACTCAATTGAAACCATTTTTGTCCGCCCTATTTATTGGTTTCATATGGATAATAACTGAATTATCCACCACATCACTGGAAGGTAGCTGAATTGTACGTACAACAATCTCAACCTGTACGTAAAACAGAAGCGATCTTGTTTTCACGTACGGGCACGCTGGGATTTTACCACGTGCAGACAACACTCTTTTTGGACTTCTATGGCGAATGAGCGACACAAAACAAGTAAGGAAAATATGCCTTCGTTCTACCAAAGCCACCGCATGCTTAGTTCTCCCAGTCTGAGCACTTATGCTTGTGCACCAGAAACGCTCGTATTTACAACCAGATCAGTTGTATATGTATTGAAGTCCCGTAAGCATAATTGCCGCTGTGTTAGTGTTTATTTTGTGCACTTCTATCTTTGCACAGTTTAAAGAGAAGAGAATAAATTGGCACGTATAGGCTACGTCGCATTTGAGTTTCTCTCTGAATTGATCGAATCTTGGAGAGCCGTCATTCGTTGTATACCTACCTACACGCACACATAGAATTTTTTAATTTTCTCACTACCATGTCTGCATTTCATTCAGTAGCCTCAGAGCATTGATGGAATATTGTTCATAGCATAGTGCAAAATTAAATAAGAATCATACACATGAGACTTAAAAATAAAATCAATGTTTCTATGCAAAAGTAAGCCAAACTGGTAGCAGAACTGTTTCCCATCATCATTTCGTTTATTTTTTATGCAGGTACCCCCGTCGAAAGATTTGTATCCAAATCTGGCCAAAATAGCGGAGCTTCGTCGTGCTGCTGCAAGAACGGCAAAAGGCGCTTCTCGAGGCACTCAGATTTGTAGATCTCGCCATTTACTGTACCCTTTGTCACGAAAGGCTCACTCCTCAGTCCGCAAGACCAGATGGCCTGCCAAATGAGATATTTGGAGGCGAACTTCGACATTTTCTTCTTCTTAAATTTGTCGTCCACATCGAACTTGCTCTTGCCGGTGAAAAACTCCAACCCCGGAATTTGCTTAAAATCGGCTTTTATATACGTTTCGTCGTCCATCACACAGCAGCCATATTTTGTCAGCATCTTCTCGTAGAGCTTCCGTGCCCGAGTTTTAGCCGTCGATTGTTGCCGCTCATCGCGGTTTGGGAAGTTCTGTACCTTGTATGTATGTAGTCCAGCTCTCTTCTTTGCATTCTGGACGTAGCTCTGCGACATGCCGATCTTTTTAGCCAAATCACGGCTTGAGACGTTGGGATTTGCTTTAATCATCCGCTTCACCTTTCCCTCCGTCTTTTTGTTCTCCGGTCCCGGTTTTCTTCCAGCTCCTTTGCCGTGGTCCAACATCAACCACTCCTGGAACCGCTTCAACACTCTGGAGACGGTTGAATGGTGAATGTTCAACATTTTTCCCAACTGCCGGTGCGACAGGTCAGGAAATTCCAGGTGTTTGGAAAGAATTTATTCCCTCAACTCGCGTTGGTTCACCTCCATTTTCGTTGAATCGAAAAACACGACTTCGTGATTGACAGCATGTACACAATACACATCAATGAGAAAGTGTGCAAAATTTGGTTGATTTTTACCCAATGGTAAAAAAGTTATGCCCTGTTGAATGTGTCGCAATAATTTCGTGTTCGCCCTTTATGCATCAAAATTGGCTTCTACTGTTACAGACAAAATATAAATAAACTAGGTGCACAACTAGTGAATTTTCTCACGTGACGCCACTGCAATTAGCAGAAAACATCCAAATTGTGAGAGTTCGATGCTTGAGGCAAAGATTTTGATAAGCTTCGCTAATTCGTGTTTTCAAACCGCATACCCCTACTCTGCATGCGGTGAAACATTGCAAATTCTGTATACTGTTTATGCAAATATGTAATAGATTCTTGAATTTCCCGGCTTAGTGAATCAAGATAATAAGGTCTATTGGCATGGCCCATGAAACCTATGTTTTTTCCTTGGTTTGTTTTCCGTCGATCTTGTTTTCCGTGCTGAGCACCAATGCTAACGACGCCAAGGAGGCAGCTCCCACACCTGGACCCTACCTATCGACCCATCAACTCATGAACCGGGGACCAACGAGTTTGCTTCCCTCACAAGTATAGTATATTATAGGCGTGATCAGAAATGTTATGCCTCAGAACATCCCGGTGACGCCGACTGGGATTGAACCCAGACCTGCTGGGGTGAGAGGTAATCACGCTTACCAATACACCACCGGCACCGCTATGAAACCTATGTTGCCAGTTGTATACAATGGAGCAGATGATCAAATGTTACTGAGCTTTCTTTTGAATGCAAAAAAAACTATAAAATGTTGGATTTAACAAAACAAGAACCTTTTCTGAAAAACAAATGGATTTTTTACCGCTCATCCAAATATTTTGTAATGATTTCGTTTTCAATATCGTTATTTTTGGAAAAAATGTTCAAAGGCTCCATACATTGTTTTTACGATACTTTTTTTTTTAATGGTGCTGTCAGTAGTTAAAATATGTATGATAAAAAAACCACTTGGCATATTCATTTTTAAATCGCAAATCTTCGGTACATTCTAACTGCTAGGGAATCCAAAAATTTCGTCAGTGGTTCAAAATCCTCTGAAATGCTATGTGATTTGTAAGAAACATGTGAAGCCATTTATTCTACGGCTCTCACGTCCGAAACGAATAATCTCTCGGCAAATGAAACCATCATTCATAACGATCGGTGAATGTACTCATTTTCGAGCCCCTGAAAGACCGATTATGGTCCAATTGCGCCAGCGCACGTTGAATATGATGGAAGGTGCCACAAAAACGGTAATCACCATCTGTCATATTTAAGCAATCTAAAACATTATGATTTTTCGTGCGCCATCGCTTTAATTTTACACGTATTTCTACAAACATGCTATTCTCTCCTAAAAAGAGCTAAATCGTCTTGATCTGCACACAACCGTCCAACCCTTGCCATGCAAAATGACGTAATCTAATTATCACTCGTCAATAAAGAACGTTTGACACAATTTTTTACAACCACCTTATTGTGATTTTTGGAAGACCCTTTCTGGTAGACAAATCACACACCCAAGCAAGCTCTTCAGCAAGCAGGTGATAGAAGGATATGCGATTACACTCACTCGGACTCCTTTTTCTTTTCTTTCTTTAATCTTCACATTTCTTAGTTTATTGCCCTTAACAGATCTCTATAATGTCTTTATGACGAGGAGTCACCCGTGAGAGATGAATAAGATCCTAGGTAGAGCCGCAGCCATGAACATAGAGAGAACAAGAAAAAGTGCAGCGCAAAGGAAAGCAAGATCAATAGGAGGCGGAGACCCAAAGCAATAAAGAATGTCGATGATCATATGTTAATTTTTGTGATCTTTTGACATTTGTACCGCGAGGGTAGGTTCTTTTGATTATACCGATGTCGTGTGTCAAAAGTCTACACCATATGCTCTTAAGGAAATACGACACTGGCTTATAGTACACAGACAAGAGCCGAAGTGTTATTGCAAGATTCGGAAGAACCATTTTTCAAAGATAAAAAAATCATATAACTTATTATTCAGTTAAATATTATCGAGACTATATGAGAGACATGATACATACCTGTATTACTCGCATTGGCAGTCCAGTTTCTTTGGCTAACTGTTCCCTAATATGCCTCGTTGGTTTGGGTGTTTGACTAAATGCAGTTTTTAACACTTCTAACTGTTTGGCCTTTATCGTTGTTCGAGGACCCCTGCGTTTGGATCCCCCACCATCGTCAGGACTTTTATTTTCCGCTTGTGAGTCCCCCCGACAGTCAGGATCCCCATCTAACGAACCCTGGTCACTATCATCATGACCTGTTTTACTGTCCGTGCTCATACTTTGCACGGATAGGTCCGAGGCACCAAGGGGTCCATCGTTTGGCCCAAGTGATCCCAACCCCAAACCAGGCCTCAGGTGTTCATCTTCATCTTCATCTTCCGATCCTGAGCCCATCAAAGAATCTGCAAAAAATTAAAGAAAACAATTATTCAAAATGTGTTCAACAAATATTTGTTGTAGTTGAGACAAGTGGAATCAAGAGAGTTGGTAATATTAAATTTTTTTACCACAAGGGCATTTCCTGTTCAGCATGAAGGGTGCTTCTGCAGTGCCGACTGGTTTTGTCATCCCTTTATTTTTATTTGATATGTTTTCCACTCATTCATTTCCCTCTCTACCCTCCGGCTGGTGCACTAGCTCGGAATGTACCCTCTCGATCCAGAGCAAACTCAAGTAGAATAACAAAAACCGTTTAAAATCTCTTTACAAACAGCCCACAGAGCCTGTAAGCTCGAGATATTTTACAACGCAGGAAGATGATTTCGTTCATCCGCAATTCAGGATTTTTCTTTTCGAATTAACTCTGCTATATCCCTCACGGCCCGTGCTGTTTGTGCAAACTTCAGTAACGCTCCCAGTAACGACTGGGTTTATCCCACCCTCATATTTCGTATGTACAACAATAGAGTGTGGAAGCAGTTGCGTGCCGTATCAAATGCATATGGTCTAGGAACGACCGGCAAACATTTCCACCACGACATGGTGGCGCTCAATGTTTTCACCCTTCAATCGTATATCGTTCCTATTGTGACGTGGGTTCCCAGATGTAGTTTATTTGCACATGAATTGCTTGTATATTTTCTATGTAATACAACACTTTGTTTTGTTAAGAAAATTGTTTAAGTGAATAATAACACCACCAGCCTTATGGTTACGAGTATCAATTGGGTGATGCCAATGAAAAGGAGTAATGAAAATAAAATAGGAATTTAAAAAATATATAACTGTTAAAAATATCAACAAATACATAAAATCCAAGGCAGAAAATTTTACAATAAAAAGGACACGCTACTCGTTCATAGCAACTGGAGGTGATATGCACGGATACCCTAAGGAATTTATGTAAGTAACAATTCCCAGACAACCAGAATTCACTTACATTCGAAGTTGTTTCTGTGATTTACGAACATATATATAAACAAACAAATCGTATAGAATGCAAAAAATTGCTCAAACGTACAAAAGTAGAGGCCATTATACGTGCAAATTTTATTTTATTTTTATACGAGTTGATTTGGTATTTTATACGATTTAATCTGCAATAACAAATTCAATTTGAAAAATCTTATTATGTAATACGATTTAATTTGTGAAACAGTATGATGAAAAAATTATTCGCCGTAAATAGGTCGGAAATTTGCATTCTATACGATTTAACTTAAACATAATGCGATGTATCCCAAGCAACACGGCTTGTCATAAAGAAGTTGAAAATACATTTTAATGACTTACGTAAAGAATTAATAATACTGTAATATACGTCATTAAATACATTTATATAACCTAAAAAGCGCAAGTCGCGGAGCTTATACAACTAAATACTGGTCTTATAACATGTTTTGGAAACATCATAAAAACCGGCGGCAAAAAAAAACATCAAATAGAACTTGAGCATGGGATTCGATCACTGGTCCTTGGCGTGGTAGACTTACTACTTCCTAACTAGACCAACTCCGCTTGATGAGAGGTTTGTTATAAGTATCTATCATGTTCTTGCCAATGGCATGAAAATTATATTCTCGTTCAACACGCTTTCAATCCGTCATAAAGATGTTTTGTTAGCAGCAAAGCGTACATCTAATTGCCAGAGTGTTATTTTAAAGTATTTTCAACTCCTTATAAGACAACCTGCACATTTTCAGTTATATTCATTTATGAGATGTAATAAACAAGTGTTTTCAACTTTCTTTATAACAAACCTTCGAATACCTCATAAGAAACTGTCAATCACTGCGTGAAGAGACAGCCCGGCTCAATGGCGCCGTCAATGTTTACGTCAATCTGGAAAGTTCAGAATCTCTTCAAGAACTTTATAAATTCAACTAAGATTGATTTTGTATACGACAAGTTTTATAGTGGTATTAAAACAGTAAGATGCACGTTTAAATAACATTTAAAGATAAAAGCAAAATAAAACTATTTTGGAAAATGTTGAATCTAGGAAGTATGAAAAAAAACATCTATAAACCTCATATATAACGTGGAATGTTTTCTACATCACTTATAATACATTTATATAACAAGCCGTTCTAAATATTTTTCAAAAAGATGTTTTATGTGTTACTTGGGATATAATTCTTATATGGGTCATTCTAGCTCAAGCGGGTACAGAATTTAAAAAAGTTGTGGTCGATGTCACTGATTTGAGCCAAACTTGGCCAAAACGCTTATTTTGCCATTCTGAACAAACACCTTTTTTGATTTTGCTCTAAATTGCCTAGATCCTTCTGGGCTACAACCCTGGATTTTCGAAATTTTTAAAAATTTCAGAAGGGATTACTCTACAAACAAATAAGTTATTTGCAATCTTAGAACGTCAATTTGAAGGTTTTTTTTTTAATTTAAATTCTTATAAATGCACAAAAAATTTGTTTTTGTTATGGACTATTTTCACCATGGGCGGGTTTTCTTATTTCAAAATTTTTTTGGTTCAAATTTTCACCACACTTTAAAAAACTCTTCTACTAGATGTTTTTCGAAGGGTAAATGATTTAGACAAATAGTTTTTAAGATATGACCAGATTAGTGAGTGGTAGTTTTGAGCTTTTTTGGTGGAAAATCAATGCTATTTAATATTGTTTTATTTTTTCATGAATTCCTTCACGCCGATGGCACAATAATATTTTTATGTTATTTTTCACATGTTCTGGCAGGATTCTCAATATATGAAATCATACCTGCCTCATTTATTTACTTCTGTCCATAATTGAATTGTGACCCATATGCGTTGTTGACTTAAACTATAGAAATTTACGATACTATCTGTATATTGTTATACGACTTCTGGTTGTCTGGGTAGGCACTTCTCGCTGAAACCGGCCACTTTTTGTTCGAAGTTCTTAAGAGCCACTTCTTTCGTTTTTATTAGAAAGCTCTTGTTATGGTCATAGAAAAATTGTTCTACCCTAAGGAATTTATGTAAGTAACAATTCCCAGGCAACCAGAATTCACTTATATTCGAAGTTGTTTCTGTGATTTACAAACATATATACAAACAAACAAATCGTATAGAATGCAAAAAAAATGCTTATACGTACAAAAGTGGAGGCCACACACGTGCAAATTTTATTTTCTTTTTAAACGAGTAGATTTGGTATTTTATACGATTTAATCTGTAATAAAAAATTCAATTTGAAAAGTTTTGTTATGTAATACGATTTAATTTGTGAAACAGTACGATGGAAAAATTATGCACCATAAATATGTCGAAAATTTGCATTCTATACGATTTAACTTAAACATAATGCGATGCGTGTCATTCTTATATGCGTTGTTGACTTAAACTATAGAAATTTACGATACTGTCAATCTATGGACTCCTCGTTATCTAGAGGCACGAACAGTTTAATAAAACTATTTTTTTATGGCTGGTGGAGCCATTCCTTTTACGTAAGATACAAGAAAACAAGAAGAAAAGAAAATTAATCATCATACATCTATATATATATTCAACTCAGTTCGCTTTAAAAAATTTTTTTTTTTATTATGAAATCATTAGATTTTTTTTCCTTGATTTGTTTTTCCATCGATCTTGTTTTCTGTGCTGAGCACCAATGTTACCGGCGCCAGGGAGGCAGCTCCCACACCTGGACCCTACCTATCGACCCATCAACTCATGAACCGGGGACCAACGGCTTTAATTCCCTTCGTGATCAGAGATGTTATGCCTCAGAACATCCCGGCGGTGCCGACTGGGATTGAACCCAGGCCTGCTGGGGTGAGAGGTAATCACGCTTACCACTACACCACCGGCGCCGCTGAAATTATTAGATGTTATAATGATACTTTGAAGTTGTAAATTAGAAGAATAGTTATGTTTACCTGTCATTTTGCAGTCAGGGGTCACAATCTGCGATTTTATGATCCGTAAGCGCTCACTCTGAGTGATCGCTAACGAATTATAAACTGACTGATTATTACTCTCTGAAAGCCAAATGGACAGGTTTTATGTGCCAAACACATACTTTACAATCTCTTCTCATCTTACAAGTACAACGTATCTAAATTCCGTAAAACATGTTCATTGAAGTGAGTCGAAGCAACCTTGAAAACTCGGAACGGAAGCAACCCGGAAAAAGAATCAGTAACCAAATGACGCACTTAGTTTTTAAATTGGTGGGAGGTAAGCGTATGAAAAACTAATTTCTTCACCAAAATCCTAATTTCAATATAGTCACCGAAAATTCTAAACATACCATATGAAAGGGCCAAAAACGGAGGGGCGAAGCCGTAAGAGACACTTGCGCGAAATTCGTCGGAAAATAAGAATCTCCTTCCAACGATACGATCCATCAAATCGAATAACACAATTCGCAATACTTTTTGTCATAACACTTAATCGTCCAGTTCCAGTTTGAATGATACCCTTATGCTTCCTCCCAACCCAGTACTAATTAAATATATAGAACGGTATGTAATACACAAGTATAACATTAACTCAAAACTAAAATACCAATAAATAATTATAATTATGGATATACTGCTTCTTGATTAATCTGCTTCTGAAAACTGTTTGCATTGTAGTGGTGCAGTCCAACATCTACACGCAAAATAAATTGCATGTACAGAAAATGCAAACAGAGGGCCTGTAGATATTTCTTACGAGAACTGTAATGGTAGCCTGTAACGTCCTATAGTGAAAAAGCATTTTTTAAGGTCAAACGAAACCATCATAAGATATTTTTCAGTATTGGCCAGAATGTACTTCATAAAATAAGCTCATATGAAAAGTCTTCCTAAGAAAAAATTACAGAGCTGTACATAAACTGTAATAAAATATGACATTTCCCGGATGGGGATCATCTGTTGTATCATGGTTTTCCACAATGTTGGCAAAATTTACACGGTATTTTAAACTTTTTCTCGTAACCCATATTATCCGTCAGAGTACCTATGGCATT